GTCTGTGTCCAAGACAGTTTTGAAACAATATATAAGCAATCTAACTGGGGAAGGAGTCCTACTCGACCTGGTATTGGGGAATGAGTCAGCTAGGTAATCCAAGTTTCAGTGGGGGAGCATTTCGGGAAATGACCCAATTCTCTAATTTTTAGTTCCTCATGGATAAGGATAAAGAATTGTACTCAAAAGTACTAAACTGGAATATTAGGCAAAAACTGGGGAATGTACATGGGGTGGGGGGGTTGTTTGAGGGTAATTCCACATCTAGCATGTGGAAATCTTTTAAAAGGCCAGTTCAGGGTCACAATGTTCCGGTGAAAATGAAGGATGAGCATGGTAATATTCGGGAACCTTGGATGACAAGAGAAATTGAGAGCTTAATAAAAAGAGAAAGAAGGCATATGTAAGTTTTACAAAACTGAAGACAAACAGAGCCCTCCAAGAATACAAACATAGTAGGGAAGAACTTGAACAAGGAATTAGGGAGGGGCCATGAAATGTATTTGGCAAATTGGAGTAAGGAAAACCCCAATGTGTGATTATATAAAGGGCAAGAGGGTAGTGCAGGAAAATGTACTTAAGGGCAAATGAGGGTACATGTATGTGGTGCCATAAGAAATGGCCATGGTCCTTAACAGATACTTTGCATCAGTATTCACAAAGGAGAAGGACATGATGGATGGTGAGTCTCGGGAGGTTTACGTTGATATTCTGGGGTGCGTCAATATTAAAAAAAAGGTGGTGGTGTTTGATGTTTTAAAAAACATCAAGGTAGACAAGTCCCAAAGACCTGATGGGATCTCTCCTAGATTGCCAAGGGAGGCAGATGAGGATACTTCAGGGTCTTGTACAAAATCTGTGTATCCTCTAATCACAGCTGAGGTCACAGAGGACGGGAGAATAACCAATGTTCAAGGTTTTTGAGAAGATTTGTAGCTCGGGTTGTTGACTAGCTCGTCAAGCTCTTAGGTTTGTTCGCAGACATTTCGTTACCATACTAGGTAACATCATCAGTGTGCCTCCAGTGAAGGGTCGATGTTCTGTCCTGGTTTGCTGGGGTGGGTGGCATCTTCTGGATTTGTTTCTTAGTGGTTAGTATATGGGGTCCAACTTTACATGTTTATTAATGGAATTCCAGTTTGAGTGCCAGGCCTCCAGGAATTGTCATGCCTGTCTTTGTTTGGCTTGTCCCAGGATGGCTACCTTGTCCCAGTCGAATTGGTGTCCCTCTTTGTCTGTGTGTATTGAAATGAGTGTTCGTTGGCGTTCATGAATCCTGATGGTTAGTTTCTTTCTAGTCTGGTCTATGTAATGTTTTTGATAGTCTGTGCATGGTATCTTGTAAATAACGTTGGTTCTGTTAGTTGTGGTTGTCAGATCTTTATTCTCGTAAGTAGCTGTCATAGGGTAGCTGTTGGTTTGTGGGCTACCATGATCTAAGGGGTGGAGTAATCTGGTGGTCATTTCAGATATGTGCTTAATGTACGGTAGGGTGACTAGTGTCTCTGGATATGTTGTGTCTTCCTGTTGTGGTCTGTTATGTATGTACTGGTGGACTACATTTTTCAGGTAACCGATGTTTCTAAAGACGCTGTATAGGCCAACTAGCTACCAAGAGACATGACCAACTATCAGTCATTTCAATACATGCGGACAAAGAGGGATACTAATTCGACTGGGACAATGTAGCCATCCTAGGACAAACCAAGGATAGACAAGCATGACAATTCCTGGAGGCCTGGCACTCAAATCAATTAACAAAACATGTAGAGCTGGATCCCACATACCAACTACTAAGAAACAAATCTGGAAGAGATGCCACCCATTCCAGCAAACCAAGACACACAAATAGCAAGCAGGACGGAACACCAACACTTCACCGGAGGCGCACTGATGGTGTTACCTAGTATGTGATGAAATATCTGAACAAACTTACCAGCTCGGCGAGCAAGTCAACAACCGTAGTAGCCAACGTTGCTCCATTGTTTAAGACGGGCAACAGGGACAATCTGGGAAGTTCCAGGCTGGCGAGCCTTCTGTCTGGTATGGAAATTATTGAAGATTCTTCAGGATAGGATTTACTTACATTTGAAAAAATATGGACTTATTAGTGATAGGCAGCAAAGCTTTGTGTGGAGAAGGCTGTATCTCAAACTTGCTTAATTATCTTTGTCACTTCATCAAAAAACTAAATGACGGCAGGGCAGTGGATTTGTCTACATGAATTTTAGCAAGGCACCTCATGGTAGGCTGATACAAAAACGTGAAATCACACGGGATTCGCAGTGAGTTGGTAAGGTGGCTAGAGAAACAAAACAACAGGGATAGATCACAATAGATAGGCTGGAGACTTGGTAGAGAAGTGGCAGATGGTGTTTAATCCCGACAAATGCATGGGGGTGCGTTTTGGAAGGTCTAATGTAGGATTAGAGTATACAGAACCCTTAGTGGCATCAACATTCAGAGGAATCTTGGTCCAGGTCCACAGTTCCCTGAAACTGGCAACGCAAGTAGATAAGGTCTTCAAGGCAGCATATGGCACGCCTGCCTTCATGAGTCAGGCATAGAGTATAAAAATTGGCAAGTCATGTCGCACCTGTTTAAAACTTTAGCTAGGCTATATTTGGGACATCATGTGCAGCTCTGGTCACCACACTACCAGAAGGATGTGGAGGCTTTTGAGGGTATAGAAACTGTTTTCCAGGATGTTGCCTGGTTCACAGGGTGTCAGGTAGGAGGAGAGATTGGACAAACTTTGCTTGCCTTCTCTTGAACATTGGTTGATGAGGGGCAAGAAGTTTACAAAATGGGAGGCATGGATAGTCAGAGCCCTTTTCCTGGGGTATAAATGTAAATTACTAGGGGACATAGGTTTAAGATAAAAGGGGCTAAGTTTAAAGGAGATGTGAGAGGAAGTCCCTCCCCCAACACACACACAAAACCTGGTAAGTGCCTGGAATGTACTGCCAGAAGTGGTGGTGAAGGCAGTGCGTACAATAGCAAGAAGCATCTTGACAGCTATGAACAGTGAATACAGCGATATGGACCGTGTAGAGAAAAAGTTTAAGTTGAGAAAGGCATCACAAGTCGCTACCGTCTTGGTGGGCCTGCTCCTCTGCTGCATCGTTCCTTGCTCTTTAATCTGTATCTAACCCGATGATCCACCAGTCATAGCAGTGCCTGATGGAGACAGTGTCGAGGGAGCTTCATTTTTAGTTTAAAAGAGTAGAGGGAGATTTACTCCATACCTAACCTTGCACTGAACCTGTCTTGGGAGCATTTGAAGGGGATAGTGTCAAGGGAATTTCAATTGCATTTTAAAAGAGTAGGAGCTTTACTCTGTTCCTAACCGCATGCTCCCCCTGTACAGGGGGAATTTGATTGAGACAGCACCAAAGGAGCTTTACTTTTAATTTAAAAGAATACGGATTGAACAGAGATAGTCCGAACAGATTATTTTGGAGGGAAATCCAGTCTAACTTGAGTTTTTCCAAAAAGGTGACTAAATACATTGATGAGGTTTACATGGACTTTAGTACAGTCTTTGACAAGGAACCACATGGAAGGTTGGACCAAAAGGTGAGAGTCCACGAGCAAGGTAAGTTGGCAGATTGGATCCAAAACTGGCTTACAAATAGAAGGCAAAGGAGTGGTGATGGAGAGCTGTTTTACCAATTAGAAGCCCGTGACCAGCAGTGTACCACAGGGATGGGTACTGTGACTCCTGCTGTTTGTAATGTACGTTGACAACTTGGATGGGAATGTAGAAAGTGCGATTAAAGTCTGCAGATGACAAAAATTGATGATGCTGATAGTGAAGAGGATAGTCTCAGACTGTAGTCTGATATTGATCAGTTGGTGAGCTCAGCAGAAAATGGCGGATGAATTTAATCAAGTGAGAGGTGATGCATTTTGGAAGAGCTAACAAGGAAAATATATACACAATGGTAGGTCCCTATGGAGTACTGAGGAACAAAGGAGTACGAGTCCAGAAATCCTTGAAGGTGTCAGCACAGGTAGACAGGGTGATGAAGACAACATACAGGAGGCTTGCCTTCATTAGCCAGACTGCAGAATATATGAGCAAGGAAGTATAGTTATAACTTAATAAAACATTGGTTAGAGCAAAGATGGAATACTAAGTGTGCAGTTCTGGTCACCACACTATCAGAAGGATGTGTTTGCACTGGAGAACATGCGAAGGAAATTCATCAGAATGTTGCCGGGGATGAAAAGTCTCAGTTATGAGAAACTACACAGGCTGGGTTTGTCATCCTTGGAGCAGAGATGGCTGGGCAGGGGATCTGACTGAGGTACTCAAAATTATGAGGGGCACAGGCAATGCAGATCAAGAGAATATTTTCCTCATGGGAGACATGTCGAAGACCAACGGGCATGAGTTTAAGGTGAGGAATAAGTGGTTTAGACAAGATCAAAGGAAAAAAGTTTTTTTTTTTCACTCAGAGGGTGGTAAAAATACGGAACGCACTACCCAAAAGGGTGATTGAAGAGGCAGATACTCTTGCAACATTTAAGAAGCATCTGAATGAGCATTTAAAATGCCAGGACACAGTAGGCTCTGGATCAAGTGCAGGTAAATAGGAACACTATAGCTTGGCATTTATTGGTCAACGTAGACATGGTGCATGAAGGGCCTGTTTCTATACTCTAATGATTACGAATCACGGTTGAAATTCTCTTCTGATTATGGTCCAAACTTCCCATTAGAGACAGCACTATTGAAACTTCCCACAAAAGAAATCTGAAGGAAAAGAAAGACATTGCTTTTTTGATATTCACTTAATGGAACCATCAATCCCAGCAGAAAGGTAAGCCACGTGACCCAGATATTTGGTTTTGCATCTTAAATTTTATTAACATCCAAAGAGTTCAAAGTGTGTTTTGGCCATACCAAAAAAGCTAATACAGCTCAACTGCTTCAAATTTATATAAAAACTTTAGCATTGAATTTTGCTTTATAACTTATTTTAAAGATATACCTTTATCATCATCGTCTTGCTTGATGTCCAAATTATCACTTTTGTCGAGTTTAGCAGTTTTGTCCAGTTTGTCAGATGGATCGTGCTTTATCATTGCTGAAATGGAATTAATTAAAATAAGGCAGGTGCTTTCTTACTGACTCAAATAATTTATAAGCTGTACATGACGATCCAAATAACTCAGTAATAAGTTATTGAGAAACAGAAAATAAGAGGACATTAAACAAAAATTCAAAAAACTACAGATGCTGGAAAACAAAAACAGAAATTGCTGAACAAACTCAGTAGATCTGGCAGTATCTGTGGAGAGAAAGCAGTGTCACATTTCAGGTCCAGTGACCCTTCTTCAGCATTTATGGTAGGTAGGAAAAAGTTGGCACTTTGCAGAAAATGGCGTGGGAGATATGGGGGAAGGAGTAAATAACAGGTGCAAGTAGAGCCTAAAGGGAGAAAAACAGTTGACAAAGGGCTCAGTAAAGGCCAGCCTGGGAGAATGAAAGCTGCTAATGGGAACTATTAGTAGCTGACAGTGGGTTGTGCACGGTAGCAGTCCAGGTGATTACAGGGCCTGGAGCGTGGTAGCCGGGTAAGGACTTTGGGGAAGATGCTCAAGCCCTAAAATTGTTAAACTCGACAGTAGAGTCCAGAAGGCTCTAGAGTTCCCAAGCAGTAAATGAGATTCTGCTCTTCCAGCTAGTGCTGAGCTTCGCAGGAGCACTGCAGCAAGCCCGAGAGCCTCTGCAGCCTACTGTCCAACAGTTTCTCCCTCTCTTCGGCCTCTATTTCCACCTATCATTTACTCCTTCCCCCAACCCCATTTTCTGCATGTATATCAACCTTTTCCGAGCTACCATCAGTTCTGAAGAAGGGTCACCTGACCCAAATGTTAACTCTATTTTCTCTCTCCACAATGTTGCCAAATCTGCTGAGTTTTTCCATCTATTTCTGTTTTTGTTTCTAAAAAAATTGAAGGAGTAAGCCATTAGACCTCATCAAACCCACTTTGCTACTTAATATGATTGTGGTTAATCCTCTATCCCAACACTGTACACCCAACCATTTCCTATATTCCAGAACACCTTTAGCTCTAAAAATCTATTTCTTTCTTAGGTATATTCGGTGACTTTGCCTCCACAGCTTCCTTGCAGATTCACCACCCTGAGTTAAGAAGTTTATCCATCTCAATTCAAAATATTTTATCACTTATTTTGGAGCCAGTAATCTTACTTTGTGACCCCACCCAGGTGAAATATCCAAATCCAGTCAGTCAGAATTTTACATGTTTCAATGAAATACTCTCTTATTTTTCTAAATCCCAGTCAGTACAGGCCCAGTCATAAAACAAACCTGCCTCTCTAGAAAATCAGCCTAGTGAATTTTCGCTCTACTCCTATGGAAAGTAGACTTCATCTTTAGATGAAAACTGCACATAATACTCCAGCTATGGTCCAACCAAGACCTGTGTAGCTGTAGTAAGACTTCCTTACTCCTGCCCTCAAACCCTCTTGCAATGAAGGACAGCCCACCATTTACCTTATTAACTTCTTGCAGCACCTGCCTGCCCACTTTCAGTAACAAAAACAGAAGTCCTCAGTTGAGGAAGGGTCACCGGACCTGAAACGTTAACTCTGATTTTTCTTCACAGATGCTGCCAGACCAGCTGAGCTTTTCCAGCAAATTCTGTTTTTTGTTCCCGACTTACAGCATCCACGGTTCTTTTGGTTTTTATTTTGCCTACTTTCAGTGACTAGTGTACAAGTTCACCCAGCACTTTCCCAGTCCGTCACCATTTAAATAATGCTATACCAATATTTTATTTCTAGAGCTAGACAACTTCACATTTATCCACGTTATGCTGTATCTGCTATATATCTGTCCCTTTACTCAACTTGTCAAAATCACCCTGAAGCTTCTCCATATCCTCCTTACTTCTCTCACTCCCACCTAGTTTTGTGTCGTCAATCTTTGAAATAAACACTTCTGACTCCCTCATCCAAATTGTTGATATCTATTGTGAATAGCTGGGTCCCAGGCACTGATTTCTGTGGTATCTCATTTGTCAATGCCTTCCACTCAGGAAATGATCTATTTACCCTATTTTCCAATCAACTTGTTCAGGGATGTTATTACACACCTCTGGAACAGGTGGGACTTGAAACAGAGCCTCCTGGCTCAAAGGTAAGGATACTACCACTGCGCCACAAGAATTCTCTAATCCTCCTGTTTTCTATTTGCTAATCAAATTATCACCAATCTCATATGCTTTGATTTTGCACAACAATCTCTTATGTGAAGCTTTATCAAAAAAATGAAATATCTAAATACACTGTATGCACTGGTTCTCCCACTACACTCAAAAAACCCCAGTAGGTTGCTAAACATGATTTCCCTTTCATAAATCCATGATAACTGTGTACTCACTACTTATAAAATACATTCCAGCATTTTTCATACTTCTGAAAGGTCAAACAGTCCACAATTCCCCGTTACTACACTCCCTTCGTTCTTTCAAAAAAAAAAAAAATTACTCAGGTTACATTCGTCACCCTCAAGTCTGTTGGGACCGTTCCAGAATCTACAGAATTTGGAAAGTCAACAACCAACATCCACTAATTCCATAACCTCCCGTATAGGTAGTATAAATTATCAGGTCCTGACAATTCATCTTTCAGTTTCATTAATTTATTGAGCATTAGTTTTTCATTTCCTTAAATTCCTCCTTTCCAAAAGGCTCTTGCTTCTTGACCATTTCCGAGAAGTCATTTGGATCTTCAGTGAAGACAGAAGAAAAATGCTTTGCCATTTCCTTGTTCTCCACTATCAATTCTCCCCCTTTCAGGCTGGAAGGGGCCTATATTTGTCTACAGACATCCTTTGCATTTTACATATTTATAGAAGTTCAGACTAATCAACAGACCTCTCATCTGTAGCTGTTCTATTAACCTGGGTATGATTTGTCTGGTTAGCATGCAAAACAATACTTTTCACTGTATCGCACTTCGTGACAATAATAAATCAAATCAAAAAGCTCTTGAGTCTTAGGATCCATGCAAATTGACTCTCTCGTCTTCCCCTTAATCAACCACTTGGCCTTCCTTTGCAACAAGTAACAAATGTGACAAATATGATGTACAGCCCACAGCTGTAATCTAATAAACTTTGCACTAAAAAGTTATATTCTTCTTACTACTAGTTACCCTTAACTGAGAAATGTGCAATTCATTGTACACCTAACCCTTTTTCAACTGGCAGCTTTATATTTTTTATCTATGGCTCATACTCCAAGTTACAATCTAGCTATGTACCGTACACTTCATCTGCTCCAAGCTCTTCTAGCATCCATTTCACAATTCAATTTTTTTTCAATCTTTCTTTTCATCCCTCAGCACTAACTGTTGTATGCAATTGCTTACTCTGTAAATGTTAACATCTCTGCCCAAAATTCTCTCTACTTGATAGTTACAGCCTTATACAACTATTTAACTTCTGCATGCAACAATTTCCAGAAGATCTTTCCAACAGACAAAGAGGTGTGGGAATCTTTACCATTGAAATAGCTTTAGCAGCTCTCTGCCATTCCAGACAAACATGAAAGGTTAGTTTTTCTTGCATTAATCCATCATTATGGGGAAGAGGGATAGTGGCATTATTAACTCAGAGGCTTCAGGGACATGGGCTCAAATCCCTCCTCAGCAGCTGGCAGAAATTAATTTCAATTAATAAACCTGGACAATAGAACTAGTGTCAGTACTGGTGACTATGAAATTATCATGGACTTTTGCAAAAGCTCTTCGGGGAAGGACATCTGGCCTACCCAGACAGGCCTACATGTGCTCCAGACCAACAGCAATGTTGGTAAGTCTTAACTGCCCTTAAATGGTCTGGTAAGCCAGTCAATTTAAGCATAATTAAAGATGCACAACAAATACTGACCTAACCAGTGAGGCCTACATCCAATGAAAGAATAAAGAAAATGAAACTGTGCTTGGGAATCAGAGACATCACACATTTCAGGGCTATTTTGTTTGGAAAACTTGCATGATAAATCAAGTGCTGCATCTTAACACAATGCTTTTAATAATTTTACTTTCGATTCCCAACAGCAGGGATGTTTAAAGAATGCATTAAAAACCAAACAACATGCAACCAGATTTTAAAAGACTTAGAACAATACCTCATAGTTCAACAAGCTTACATTAATAGCAATTAGCTAAATTTGACTGACTAGGTGTGCATGTTTACACCATAAAGAAAAATTCCATACCTTCTTTAGGTTCAGCATTTGAACTCTCTTCTTTCAGCTTTAGGTTGCTCAGCTGCAATAAGAAAAGTACACTTTCTTTAAAGAATATTTGAATAGTTTCCTCAGTCACAGGAGTGTAATGGTTAAAAGATAAAACAGAAATTCATAAGATGTAAACTCATCTAATAGATAAGATGGATGGGAGGGGAGTAAAATGCAAAGTACCACAACCAAATATTTAAACTTTTCTTTCAAACAAAATACTGCAAATGCTGGAAAACTGAAACAAACAAATCCAGAAAATGCTGGAGGAACTCAGCAGGTCTGGCAGTATCAGTGGAGAAGACAGAAACAAAATTAACATTTCAAGTCAACATTTCAATATGATCAATTCTGAAGAATCATATCAGACTCGAAACATTAACCCTCATTCTCTGCCAGACCTAAGTTTTTCCAGGACACTGTTTTTGGGTCGCTGTTATTTCCGATCCAGAGAAAACAATATAATCGAATTTGATCTGTAAAACGTCCACGTCCCTTTCCTCTTTCAAACACTTTGCCAAGATCTTAAAAACAGTGTAGGCCACTCGGTCCGTCGAGCCTGCGCCACTATTCAGTAAAATCCTGACGAATCTGACTCAGGCCTCACTTCCACTTTCCTTCGAGCCCCTCAATAACGCTCGGCCAAAACTAACTGAGGGAGGGGCGAGTGCCCGGTTTCAATCACCCAGAAGCCAGTCTCTCTGTTCCTGGCCGGAGAACACTCACCGACTCAGCCGCCGACTCCTGCAGATCCACCGCCAGCGCCCATGAGTCCGTCGCCATGATTATCCACCAAGGTGAAGACACAAGCACGCAAGCGCGGGCTACAGCCCGCCCTTTAGAAGCTCCGGACCGCCGCCTCTGTCCGGGATTTCCGTTCCGCTTCTCGACGGAAAACAAAAGGTCGCCTCCACCGAATGTGATTCCAGTTAAAAAAATAAAAGTGAGTCTCAACAACATTCACACAAACTGAAACCGATCCTAATCCCATTTAAACATATTAACTGTGAGGATGGGTTAGAATAAAATTGTTACTGGACTAGAAATCCAGAGCATTTCCATATCCTAGTGTAGCCCAGAGAGGCAACTGGTGAAATTTACGATCAATTAATTATTACATCTGGAATTAAACGTAGCTTTCAGTGCTCTCGTTAAGGACTGGAAGGATAAAACATAAAATCGAGGAGCAGAATGAGGCCATTCAGCCTATGGAGTCTGCTATACTATCCAAATGGGATCATGGCTGATCTGATACTCCTCAACTCTACTATCCTGCCTTTTCACTACAATCCCGACATTTCTCTGAGATTATGCCCTCTGGCCCAAACTCTGCCACAACGGGAAATGTTTTATCTACACCTACCCGGTCAAGCCCCCTAAGAATCTTTTATGTCTCAATAAGGTCACCCGTAATCCTTCTAAACTCCAATGAGTACAGGCCCAACGCACAAATCTCTCATCATAAAACAATCGATTTCTACCTGGGATCAATCCAGTGAAGCTTCTCTGGACTGTGACCAATGCCAGAATACAAAACCGTTCACAGTATTCCAGCAGACCTCCCTATTTTTACACTCCATTCCCATGAAATAAAGGCCATCAGTCCATCTGCCTTCCATCTTACTTACTGATCTTGGCTGCTAGATTTTTGTCATTCAGGAGGGCACCCAAATCCCTCCATGCTGCAGCTTTCTATAGTATTTCCCTGAGCCCATTTCTTCAGACAAGAGTTTGCTCCCTTCTCCCAGTTCCAACACTCTCCCTACACCTGGACCCCTCCCTCTGGCCTTTTACCTGCATTCGATCTGTTCATTGAGAACTGTCAATGTGACATTGGTAGCCTCAATTTCTTTGCCCCCCCACTCCACTCAATCCAACCTATCTCCCTCCAAACTGACAACACTCCATGCACTTGAATCTAATCCTAACTTTGTTATTAAGCCTGCCGAAAAGGGTGGTGCTGTTAAAGTCTGGCATACTGACCTCTACATTGCAGAGGCTGAGCAGCAGTTCTCAGATACCTCCTCCTATCTTCCCCTGGACCATGATGCATCCATTGCATATCAGGCATTTGTATAACCTATGGTAACTGACCTCATTTCATCCGGTGATCTCCCCACCCCACTGCCTCCAAGCTGAAAGTCCCCCAGCCCCAGACAGCTTGCTCCTACCTCCTTCCAAAAATTCACAAACAGGACTGCCCAGGCAGACCCATTGTTTCAGCCTGCTGCTGCCCCAAGAACGCATATCTTCTAACCTTGCCTTAGTCTTCTCTCCCCTGGCCCAGTCCCTGCCCATGTACATCCATGATTCATCTGACACTTTACGCCATTTTCAAAATTTCCAGTTTGCAGGCTCCAGCTGCCTCCTGTTTACCATGGACGTGCAATCCCTTTACACATCCATCCCCCACCAAGATGGTCTTTGGGCTCTCCACTTCTTCCTGGAGCAAACACTTGAACCGTCCCCACCCACCACCACCCTCCTCCACTTGGCTAAGCCCGTCCTCAACCTCAGCAACTTCTCTTTTAACTCCTGTCATTTCCTTTAGATCAGAGGGGTGGCCACGTGTACCCATATGGGCCCAATTATGCCTGTCTCTTTGTGGGGTACATGGAACATTCCCTATTCCGGTCCTATTCCACCCCCCCGCCCCCAACAACTCTTTCTCTTTCTCTGATATGTCAATGGTATCATTAATGCTGCTTCCCTCTCTTGGAAAAGTTCATTGATTTTACTTCCAAATTCCACCCTGCCTTCACTTTCACCAGTCTATCTATAGTCCTCCCTTCCCTTCCTCGATATCCCTGTCTCCATCTGTAGGTATAGACTGACAACCAATATCCACTATAAACCCACTGACTCCCACAGCTACCTGGACTCTACAACCTCACACTCTGCTTCCTGTAAAAATATTCCATTCTCTGAGTTCCTCTGTCTCAGTCGTTTATGTTCAGATGAGGCCAACTTCAACAATGCAGCTTCCGAAATGTCCACCTTCTTCCTCAACTGAGGATTCCTCAGCTCCATCATCGACAGGGCCTTCAACCGGGTCCGACCCATCTCCCGCACTTCCGCCCTCATCCCTTCTCTTCCCTCCCGCAACAGCGACAGGGTTCCCCTTTCCCTTACCTACCATCCCACCAGCATCCACATCCAGAAGATCATCAGACGCCATTTCCACTACCTTCACCAAGATGCCACTACCACACATATATTTCCCTCCCCTCCCTTGTCCACCTTCTGCAGAGACCATTCCCTCTGGGACACCCTGGTCCACACTTCCTTTACCCCCTACACCACACACCCCCCCACAGCCCTACGGCATCTTCCCCTGTAACTAGCGAAGGTGCAACACCTGCCCATTTACCTCCTCCCTCCCCAGTATCCAAGGGCCCAAACATACCTTCCAGGTGAAGCAGCACTTCACCTGCACTTCCTACAATCTAGTCGACTGCATTCGCTACTCACAATGTGGTCTCCTCTACACTGGGGAAACGAAGCATAGACTTGGCGACTGCTTCACAGAACATCTACGTTCTGCCTACAACAATGACTCTGACCTTCCAGTTGCCTGCCACTTTAATGCACCACCCTGTTCCCTGTCCAATATCTCTGTCCCAGGCCTGCTGCAGTGTTCCAGCGAAACTCAACGCAAGCTGGAAGAACAACACCTCATTTTCCACTTGGGGACCCTGCAGCCCTCCGGACTCAATATCAAATTCAATAATTTTAGGGCCTAAACTCTCCCATATCCTAGCCCCCTACCCCACATACCAGGCCTTGTTATCACATAGCCTGCCATTACACACTACCTATTGTTAGTCACTAACAGTTCCCATTAACAGCTGAGATACCAAGGTGTAGAGCTGGATGAACACAGTAAGCCAAGCAACATCAGAGGGGCAGGAAGGCTGACGTTTCGTGCCTAGACCCTTCTTCAAAAATGAAGCTATTAACAGCTATTCACCCTCCCAGCCAGATTGTTATCAACTCCTTTGTCCATCCAATTTCTTTTCTCTGTCTTTGGGCTCTATCTCCATGTATTATTTACTCCTTACCCCCTCCCCCCACCCGATCTTCTGAATATAAACCAACATTTTCCTAGCTACCATCAGTTCTGAGGAAGGGTCACTGGACCCAAAATGTTAACTCTGATTTTTCTTCACAGATGCTACAAGACGTGCTGAGCTTTTCCAGCAAATTATGCCTTTGTTACTGATTTACAGCATCCGCAGTTCTTTTGGCTTTTATTTAGCTCTTCAAAGATAGGCAAAATTGTAAACAGTTCAAATGTTATCATAAAATTATAAAGGATGTTGATAAACTAGGTTAATTCACAAAATTGTAGCAGATGGAGTTCAATATAGGCAAAAAATTACAGATCAGGGTACATTTTAAATGGCAAGTCCAATAAGATTTGGGGTTCAGGTGCACAGACCATTAAAATGCCACAAGCAGGTATGGAAGATAATCAAGAGGACTAATGGAATGTTGGTCCTTATATTTAGAAGACTGGAGTATAAGGACACGGAGGTTATGCTGCAGCTATACAAAACCTGGTTATATCTCACTTGGAGCACTGTGAGCAGATCTGGGCACTACACCTTAGGAAGGATATAGTGGCCTTGGAGGAAGTACAATGTATATTTACAAGAATGATACCTGGACTTCAGGGGTTAAGTTGCAGTGAGTGATCATACAAATTAAGCCTGTTTTCTCTAGAATTTAGAAGATTAAGGGGTGATCTGATTGAAGTCTTCAAGGAGTCCCAGGTTGACAGGATAGTGAAGAAGGTGTTTGGTATACCTGCCTTTATTGTTCAGTACATTGAGTATAGGAGTTGGGAGATCATGTTGCAGCTGTGCAGGACAGTAGTTAGGCCACTTTTGAAATACTCAGCGCAGTTCTGGTCTTCCTGCTATAGAATGGATGTTGAGAAACTTGAAAGGGTTCTGAAAAGATTTGCAAGGGTTTAAGCTATAGGTAGAGGCTGAATAGGCTGAGGCTATTTTCCCTGGAGCATCAGAGGCTGTGAGGTGACCTTATAGAGGTTTATAAAATCATGAGGGGCATGAATAGGGTGAATAGACAGGGTTTTGTTCCCTGGGTGGTGTGTCCAAAACTAGAGAACACAGGTTTAAGGTGAGAGAGGAATGAATTAAAAGGCACATAAGGGGCGACATTTTCACACACAGGATGGCGCATATATGGAATGAGCTGCCAAAAGAAGTGGCGGAGGTTGATACAATTACAATATTTAAAGGCATCTGGATAGGTATATGATTAGGAAGGGTTTAGAGGGAGCTGGGCCAAACGCTGGCAAATGGGACTAGATTAATTTAGGATATCTGGTCAGCAAGGACAAGTTGGACCGAAGGGCCTGTTTCCATCCTGTACAGCTTTAGAACTCTATGACTCAATATAAAAAGGAAAAGACAGCATAAATAAAACTAAACTATTTCCATTTGTGTGGGATTCTAGAATTAAGGGGGTATAATCTGAGAATTAGGGTCAGAATGTTCAGATGAGATGTTAGGAAGCACTTCTACTTGCAAAGGGGTATAAGTTTGGAACTCTCATCCACAAATAACAATTGATACTGAGTTCTATGACTCCTTAATTCAATGATCAGTCATTAATTTTAAAATTTGAGATAGATTTTGTTTGTTAAGTGAAGGTATTAGGGAATATGGGCCAAAGGCAGATAAATAGAGTTAGGTCACAGATCAGCCACAATCTCATTAAATGGTGGAACAGGCTCAAGGGACTAAATGGCCTGTTCCTGCTCCAAAAATCTATCTGCCGTGTTTTGAGCCACACTTAATCTGTCTACATCCCTCTTCAGACT